AAGATCCCCTTACCGGTCATCTTTAAAAAAAAAAAAAGAAAGAAAGAAAAGAAAATTCTACACCTCACTGCTGACTAAATACCAGAATTCTTGGGAAGGTGTTATTGTAGCTGAGTTGTGATTCCTGGAAGTACTGGTCGTTTTGACAAGTGCTGGGGCAGGTAGGGCCACACTTCTCTCCACCTGTAAGTGGTCAGATCAGCAGGAAAGGTCACTCAGAGGCGCTGTCTGGTGGCTGTGTCCTCTGCAAAGGGCGCACCCTGTGTGCTCGGAGGAGGAGAGCCCGCTGACCCCACAGGGAGCCGGGAGAGAGTGTCGCGGGGCGGGCATGCTACTGCCCCAGCACGACGACCCAACGAGCTACTTTTCCTTTCACTGTCTCTTGGCAGTTTGACTTCACTTTTGTTGAAGTTTATCGTGTCAAGAAATTCCAGTTTACCTCAAAGCGCGTGGAAGACGATGACAGTGACCTCCAGGAGGAGGGGAAGAAGCGGTTTGGGCAGATCTGCAGCGACCACCGCTCCTGCTGCTGCACCGTCTCCAGCAGCTCGTGGAACTGTGACGGGGAGCTCCTGCACAGCTCTGCCATCGAGGTCAAGTGAGTGCGGGGGTCCCGTGGCCTAGACACCACCAGGGCCCTGGGCTTCGCAGGGCACTTTTCATCCCACGTGTCAGATATGCAAAGAGGTGCCCTTTTCTGAACTCGGGAAGGATGCTAGGGCTTGCAGTAGCATGCGTCGTGGCCTGCAGGTGACTTCCACAGGTTTGGAAGCCCCCCCCACTTTATCCTGTTCTCTTCCACACCCTGCACCCCGGCACACGTGCATCAGTCCTTGGCCTGGCGTTGACTCTCTCCTCCTCATTAGCTAAAAAAGCACACACGGGAAACCACCTTCATGGGCACTCCCTAAGTCCTTGGTCCAGAGTCCTCCAGGAGACGTCCAGCCTTAAGGGGCCGGTTCAGTGCCACGTGCTGGCGCTCAGTGCTGGAGCGGCCGCGAGCAGAGGGGCCAGGAAGGGTGGCCTGAGGTGGCAGGAGGGACAGGAGGAGGAGCCCAGAGGAGGCTGGGTGTGTGGCTGCCACACAGACCCCGAGGCCTCGCCGGCTCAGCCCCCTCGTCCCATGGGGAGCAGCTTACCCTAGCCAAGCTCACTCGCTGGGGTGACGCTGAGGATCAGAGCTCGAGGCGTCCTGGGCAGGTGACAGAATTAGGTGTGGGTGTGCACATTCCGTGAGACTGGGAAAACTGGAAGACGCGGGAAGGATTCTGTCCTGCCTGCCAGTGTCTCTGAGATCTTGGTCTACCTTAAGGAAAGCAGACTGGTGTCTCGTTTCCATGTGGAGGAAGGTAAGGCTGCTGGCACAGGCCACACCTGCTGCGTTGGGAGGTGGGTAGGGGACGTGCCTTTGGTGCTGCACAGCATTTGAGAGGTGTGCACCTGACCGTTTACAGCCCCCCACTTGAGGTGACCCTGTCCACCTGCTCCCTTTCCTTTTGGTCAGTATGACAACTATCACCCAGCATGTGCCTAAGGACCAGAGGCTGGCAGAGGTCCCAGGAAAACTCACCAAGCCAGTCAACCACATGCACAGGGATCTGGCTTCTGTGGACTCATTTTACAAGTTAGGGAAGTAGAATTATTTTTAATACTGGCTTATGTATTTATTAAAAGTATTAAATAGGATACTTTGAAAATTAGGAACAGCATTCTTTAAATATATACCATGTATCTTGATAAATATTACCGTGCCTTGAACAGCGTATCACTTAGTTGTGGGGTTTTGGTTACTAAAGTGTGTCTGAGGAGGTTGTGGCGTCCTTAACAACTGAAATAAACGGGCTGTCCTCTGTGGGAAGGTGGCCCTGCTGGCTGGGACCCGGAGCCTGCTCTGACTGCCCAGCCCCTGGGCAGGGCACCTCCCGCTAGTGCCAGGCCATGTGTCTTTCTGGAGGGAACCCTTTCCACACGTCTCTTACATGCGTGGAGTTGCCCTGCGGTGACCCCCCAGGGCCCTGCGAGCTCATTACTGATGAGGAAACTGAGCCAGGCGGAGTGGGCACACACGGGATGGGTTACTCTGCTATCGGGCGGGGTGTTGGAATTAGGATCAGATCTCCTGATGCCTTGGATTTTCCACTTGGCCATCAGCACCCCTTTACAAAATAGGTCTCTGGGGAGTCTCAGTCGATCACTCTGTGCCCCACAACCTACAGTTGCAGGGCTGGACCCTGACAGCCTGCGATGGTGTCTGATGGCTCCCCACCGCCACCCGGTCCAGGTGTGGGGCTACGTGGGGTTTCAGTGTGGCCGTTTGTCTCTGCAGGGTCCACTGCCAGCTGATTCGACTCTTTGCACGAGGTATCGAAGAGAATCCCAAGCAAGAGGCACAGAGCTGAGAGGCCACGACACGTCACCCGCCTTCCCGCACTTGGGAATGCGAGGGCCACTGAAGATGACTGCAAACCAATTATGTGGATATATACATTTAAATTTAGAAATTTATTTTTGATAGTTAAATCTTGATTTTAGAAAAATATCTTTGTCAACAATTTTGTGTACATATTTGGCATTTTAAGTTCTACGTGAACCCGTGGGCTGCATTTCACATGACTTACTGTCAGCGGTGGCACGTTTTGATTTGGGGCGTTGGCTTCTTAGATTTTAACAGTGTCAACAGCGCAGTTTTAAAAATGGCCCGTTCGTGGCTCTATTGCAATAATTTTAGGGACATTATAATGTGAGTGCTTTCCACGGAGGTCACAGGATTAGGACATGGGGTAACTGCCAGGTCACTCCAAGCCACTTTGCAAGGCTTGTCCTGTGTTTGTGACCAGGTTTTGGAGGGTCGTGATTCCCTTCGCCTTCGTGTCACCTTCACTGTAGTTTACGATCAGGACACTGCTATTCGGTCCTTACTGTACTGTGCAACCTCAAGGCCATGTGGCCTGCCTTACGCGGCCTCTGGAGTTAGAGCAGTTTAGGGCACTGACCGTGGTGACACTTGACCTCTGAATCCTCCACTCTTGCCATCATCACAGGATGTTTCTAGAACAGTCCAGCTGGGAGCAGGAACGCAACCTCAAGGCCATGTGGCCTGCCTTACGCGGTCTCTGGAGTTAGAGCAGTTTAGGGCACTGACCGTGGTGACACTTGACCTCCGAATCCTCCACTCTTGCCATCATCACAGGATGTTTCTAGAACAGTCCAGCTGGGAGCAGGAATGGGGGCTCCGTTCTGTACACACAGAGCATGAACTGCAGAGGCGGGCAGTTTGCAAAGCACTGGCAAGTTTTTACTGTTTTAAAATGTAAAATGCAGATGCTTTTATATCACACCAAGTGGACACTATTGCTGGCTTTAGGGGGAAACAGAGAAACTGGCATTCAGTAGGTAAACAATTCACATTGTGAATTCTGTTAACTTCAAACACAAGGTGGGGTGGGAGTGGGGCGGGGTGGGGGTGTCGTTCCCAAATTCCAACAGGGTCGCTGTGGCGCAGGCCCTGAAGCCTATACACGTGGTCCAGATTTGTTCTTTTCTTATCTTTATACTGAGTTCTATATATTTATTGAAAGTTAGGCTTTGTCCTTTTAAACCAGAATAGTGTAAATGGTGTCTTCATGTTTGTATTTGGCCTCTGAGCCATGATTCCTGCAAAGCACACAGGCGACAGTGACCAGAGGAATTTTCCGTGAAGGCATTCCTGCTCAGATTCCTGGGGAGTTCCTGGACTGTGTGCTAGTCCTTGTTTTGATTGCAATCATATTAATGTATGTGATAAGACGTATGTAAAATAGTTTTATCTGAAATATAAGAATATGCCGCTTGAACTCTGATTTGAAAGAGAAGAGGGGATACTTGACTGTTACAAGAGCGTGATTTTACGTACTGTTCCTTAATGCTGTAGGAGGGGACTTTACAGTCCGCGTTAGTCATTTTAGCATTTAACAGACAGCTTATATTTTTAGAGTTCCCTCGCCTCAATTTATATATTTTGAAGCATACATGAAATTTTCTACTTCCTCATCCGGTCCCACCCAGGCCAGACGGAGGACAGCTTTCACAGCAGTTTTTTTTAATGGAGCACCTTATCCAAGGTAATAGTGCAAGCTGAATAGGTTAATCATTGATGGTTGAATGAGGTCTGGGTATAAAGAGTAAACATACCCCAGCTGTTTCTAATGATGTTTGTTCCTGGTTGGGGAGAAACCAAAGATGTCAGACTGGCAGTTCCTGGAGAGGGGCAGTGCCACCTGGGCCCAGCAGCTGTGCAGCACCAGGGGACAGCCATCACTCCGGCGGGGCTCGGGAGGAGGGTTCCTGAGGAGGCTGTGGGGTGCCCTCAGCCCTCTGGAATTCTGCTACTTTATGAGATTTCCCCAAAAGAAATCTCAAAGTCTTTATTGTCCTGATGAATGTTTACCGTACACTGGTCTGCCCTAAAATCCAATTTTAGAAAATGGTCCAGGCCAAAGAGTAAGCATGAGTTCAACGGGACACCCAGCCGGGCCCCGCGGCAGGTTCCCGAATGGCTTTGATGGCATTTACCAGCCACTCGCTGACGTTCAAAACTGCAAAGCTCAGAACTGTTGCTGGGGTACTGTGAGTGCCCGACACCCCTCAAAGCCCCTCGATCCCTGTGCACAGGTCGTGAGGTAACGGCTCAGACATTCCCTCGCTGTAGGCTCTGATTTCCTTGCAGCCTTTAGATGCAGCAACAAAACTCCTGTATTTAGGAGTTTTAAAAAAGAAAAAAAAAATCAGATGTCATGGTTAGATAGTGAAAATTTAGGATCATTTAGAAAGTTAGTGTCATTGTAACTTCTTCCATGACTCATTAGTGCACAGCAGGCAGGCAGCGGCCATGCACCGACTTTTCCTTGTTTATTCCGATTGGGGAGAACGCTGTCGGCGCTGCTTCTTGGTGGCGGAGCGTCACTTTGTTCCTTAACACAATCCTGTGTCACCGGGAAGTGCCATGGAAAGGGTGGCTTCGTTTTCTTTCTAATCTTGCTGGTTTCAAGATTAGAAAATGGCATATTTGATCTGATGTGTTTGAAATGACAAAAATAAAGTTACTTTGGGCAGATGTGGCTTTCTTTCTTTCTTTTACAAATTTCTTTTGTTTTCAAAGCAGAACATTTTTCATGAAAATACAAATACAATTTAAAGAACAAGGATGAAATGAATGAAGGTGCAGCTACCACCTATAGTTTTTTAAAAAGTGATATAGGGCCGGCCTGGTGGCACACTCAGTAGAGTGCGGCGCTTGGGAGCGCAGCGGCGCTTCCGCCAAGGGTTCAGATCCCATATGGAGACCGGTCAGCTCACTGGTTGTGTGCGGTACGGGCACGACACTGAGGGTTGCGATACCGTTACCGGTCACGAAAAAAGACAAAAAAAAAAAAAAAGGGAAAAAAGTGATATAAGTGTACATGGGCTTCTTTATTGACATTAAATAATGAAATATATGTAAAATAGGCAAATCATAAAGTTCTTTGAGCCAAGAGGCCACAGGCCAGGTGCGAGGCACAAGGACCAAGCATCCCCTGAGAGAGACCCCCGCCCCCATGGCCTGTGCCACCCACAGCCTGGGCCCCAGTGCCCTTCCTAAGCCAGGTGAGGAAGACTCACTGTCGAGGGGTCTGTGCTGGCTGCAGAGAAAAGGTCAGGTAGGACCGAGCACCAGGGCAGCTCTGGAGCCAGAGTGGTCGTGCAGACCAGGGGGTTAAGAGCCAGTGTGGGGGGCCATGCTGTAGAGGGAGGGGTAGGAGTGGGTGCGTGGGGGTCACTGGGGGGGATCACAGCATGGGTGTGTTCCCAGGACGAAGGGGGTTAAGAGCCAGTGTGGGGGGCCATGCTGTAGAGGGAGAGGTAGGAGTGGGTGCGTGGGGGTCACTGGGGGGGATCACAGCATGGGTGTGTTCCCAGGACGGGCGAGAGGGTGTGTTTGCCAGCCTCCCAGCACCCAGGGCAGCCTGCTGTGAAGGGACGGATGGATGGATGGGCGGCCTATGCAAATGTCCAACTTCAGCTGCCCCCAAGGGTGGAGCTGGCCTGTCGGGCATGGTTTTCACACAGCCTCCTGGGGGCTCGTAGAGGCTGGTGTGCAGGAGGCCAAGCACCATCAGGCACACCCAGCACATGTCTGTGCTGATTTCTGCAGTTTCAGGAGAAGGCACATTCTTGCGTCTTTGTGTCCAGTGTCAATATCTGGACCAGCTGGCCACAAGTGTCACTGCGGACCCCTCTGCTTAGAACGCCCAGGCAGGCAGGATGCCACACCTAGGTGGGGCCAGGACCCACACCCTGACCCCAAGGTGCTGCACGGCCCCCAGACTGCCCCACATCCCGGCCCAGTGCCGGCCCTGGGCACCCCACCTGAGAGCCACTGCCCCCTCACCATCTGGCCTCATGTCTTCTAGAACCCGGCCCCCGCCTCCCGATGCCCATGGCCCAACAGCACTATCTTCTCGGCCCCAGCCAGCACCCACCTCACCCCCCCAGACTTCACCTAGGTGGCCTTGGCGCCCGAGACCCCGGCTGCTCTCCAGTGCTCGTAGCCACAGGGACCCCGGGAGCAACGGGCAGGCGGGGGTGCTGGGGGGTCCCGCCAAGAAAACGTAGGGCCCTGAGCCTTAGCACAAAGCATTTTAGATTTATTTAAATAAAAATTATAATTTATACAAGACTTTTTCTTTAAACAAGGTTTTTTAAAAAAAATGTTACAGGGGAAATTTGATCAGTTCTTCATACAGTACAATCTTTTTGTTGAACAAAAGTTACACTGGTAACGATTATTTACAGATCCAAAATAGACTCAGCCTTCAGACATAAAAAAAGTAACATTCATTCTAGTTCAGTGATTAGTTGTAGAAATTAAATATCTGCCCAGATTTACACAATTCAATAAAAACTACGGCTTCTCTCTGACAGGGAGCCCAGAGCCTGCACAGGTCTGCGCCCTGCACCTGGCAGAGGCCTCTGCTGCTGGGGTTCCTAAGAAGGACCCGCTGCGGGCCAGCGGCACCCCCAGCCGGATCCTCATCTCCTGTGCACCCTGGGCCGCCCCGGGCGGGAGCCCCAAGCCATACCCCAGAACGTGGTCAGTTTTCATCTCCCTTTCTCCTCAAAAGGGACTCGAACTAAGCCACCCCACTCTTTAAAGAAGCCCCATTCTGCTGCAGGGCCCCTACCTACTGTGCTTGGGGACAGAATCCCAGACTACCTAGAAAAGTGCTCACTGACCCCGAGGCCCCCAGAACCCACCCTTTGGCACTGCCAGGGCCCCAGGACAGGAGTTTGACAGTCACCCGTGGGCATCACCCCTGGCGGACAGGTCTGGGCCTACCCTGCCTCACCTCGGGCAGTGAGGGGGATGTCCCATTGGGGTGTATCAGTCAACTGTAGAGGCCAAGCCATGGTTTCAGAGGGGTTCCGCCTTCATTTAGGAAAGGCTGGCGTGTGGTCACCAGATGCCACAGTCCAGCAGCTGGGGGGAGGCCTGTGAGCTTTGCCATCTAGGATAGGATGTGTGCTTAATCTGGCTGGTCGGCGTGGCTCTCCCCCAAAGCAGCTCCCAGCACCAGCGTGTGACCCTACGGCCCCCATGGAGAGGGTGACACAAGCCCAGGCCACTGGGTCTCTCACCCAAACCAGCAAATGAGGATCAGAGCAAAGGTAAAAATTACACCTGAAAAATGATACAAAAATAAGAAAAACAGCTTGCTCTCTGTAAAAAATATAATCTTCTATTTCTTCAAAAAACAACAATCTCAATGACACCCAGGGGACTTAGGACAAGCTGAAGGAACTGGAGTAATGCGCCCCGGGAGACGTGCAGCCCAGGAGCTTGTCACGGCCTCCTTAGAGGCCGCGGGCCTGTGCTGACCTCCCTCTCACGTCAAAACCAAATGCAGACACCCCAGAATAAACTGGGCCTGCAAGACGCTCCCACGGGAGCCGCCTTTTTCCTGGGGAGCACGTTTTCTCAAGCCTGGAAAGAGGGAATGTTGTCAGGGGCCAGGGTGCAGCTGGCCCCAGCCCCAAGCCTCTGGGCTCTGCTCTCAGCCACTCCCCGAAGCAGAGGGACCTCCCAAGTCCCCTGGCAGCCCACACGGACAGGAACTCCACAGCCTGGGCCACCCCCGCCCCACCACCCCGGGTGGCTGCAGCCCTGAGGCCGGCTGCCGGCCAGGCTATGGCTGATTTCCATCTGTGAGCAACCAGAGCTCAGAGCACCCCGAAAGCCTCCGCAGCTGTTCTCCTGGGCCTTTCAAAAGAGCCAAGTGTGAAAAAGATGTGCTTTTACCTACACGCCATTCTGTGCCCACTGGTCACCAACTGGTGAAAGGGAGAGGGCACCAGACACGCCAGCCCCGAGGGCCCCCGCCAGCCCCCTCTGCTCCCAAGTTTGGAGCACGGACAGAGCACGAGCCAAGGATGTCACACCCGCGCCCCAAGGGTCCCTCTGAAGGCAGGAGGAAGACCGAGGCGCCCAGCTTGCGGTAGCTGGTGAAGGGACCTTCACGTCACTCACTCCCCACTGACGTCTCACTGACCCAGGAGGAGGAGCCACAAACGCTCCTCGGCTATGGCTTTGGTGGTGGAAAATCTTCAGTCCTCCAGAAAGCTGGGGACATGGGGTCATGAGAGCCTCCTGGGTGGCCGGTGCCGGACTTCTCTACCCAGGTTGGGTGGAGACAAGGGGGCTGGGTGGCGTGTCCCTCGTGGGTCCTCTGCCCTGCTGTCCACAGGTGTCCAACGGAGGTGTCTAAGGTACTGAGGCAGGGGGCAGCCTGGTACCCTGTGAGCCCCAGACCCCCCGCGAAGGGGTCTGCAGAATGCAGGGGTCGAAACAATAGAAACCAAAGGGAATTATTGCAAAAGATCATGAGGATGTTCAATTTTTTTCCACTACCAAGTTGTTAAAAAAAGAATTCCAGCAACGTTCCAGGAAAGTCAATACTAGCTGTCACCGCCAGAGGCTGCTGCGGACGTGATTTTCATGTACTGGCTGAAAATGGTCTCGAAGGCCTCATCTCTGTGCACCATGGCTCCGAACACGAGCGGCTGGTGGGAGGAGAGGCCCTCGTGAACACGGACCAAGAACCCCCAAGGAGCCAGGTCGGCATGCAGCTGCAAGGGGTCTGGGGGCAAAAGCAGACGCCCCCTCCCAGCCAGGAGCCAGGCTCCTCCAGGCCTTCAGAGAAACTACCCCCAAGGAGCCAGGTCGGCATGCAGCTGCAAGGGGTCTGAGGGCAAAAGCAGACGCCCCCTCCCAGCCAGGAGCCAGGCTCCTCCAGGCCTTCAGAGAAACTGAGGCAAGAGGCAGGCGCCTGCGCTCCAGGCTCAGCCCTTCCCTCTCTGAATCACCGCGGTGGGTGCGTCCCCTCTGGGCTGCACCCTCCCTATCTGTCCTGTGACTCTATGGCCCCACCCAAGGGCTAAAATTTCTCAATCCAAACTTGATGCAGCAGCAGGTTCCTGAAGTCTCAAGGGAGGAGGCTTCTTGGGCCCCTGCCCAAGCTGAAACCCGGCTAGTCTGCGGCTCTGAGCCTGTCCCAGGGATGCTCAGAGCCGAGCCCCGCCCCCCACCCCCACCCTTTGGTGGCCACCTGCCAGGCACTTACTTTCTGGGTTGATGGCGTCGATACGGCAATCCCCATGCCTGAGCCTGGGAGGACAGACAGGACCTTGTACTGAAAGACAACAGCACAACTGTCACCACAGGCCTCTCTTGGGGACAGGGCGGCGACAGCCAGCCCACCACATGCTTGGGGCATTCTCCTCTGCTGAGCACACACACGGCAAGACCCATGGGAGTCTGGGACTTCCCAGCCACAAGAGGATAAGGACTGTAGCATCTCCTGACTTTGTGACTGAGAATCCAGACCTGTAAATGGTCCGTCCTACTCTGTCCCCGGCGGTTGGCCTAAGTGAGGCCAAGGAGGGGCAGGTCCCTAAGGATATTGCACCTGGGGAACGGCCCCCAGAACTTACTCCCAGGGCCTGGCACAGGGAGGGCATGTGTCAGCGCTGCCAACCCCAAGAGGTGGCTGGGAGGAGCCTGGCCCTGATCTTCTGCCTTTGGTCACCAACTGTACACTTCTTCTCCGGAAAGGGAGTGACCCACAATAGCCATGGTGTTGGGTGTGCCTGACATGCCAATGGCGGGGGGCACCCCACAGCCTGGGCCTACCGGCTGGCACCCCCTCACCAAGCCCCTCCCCTGTCCCAGAGCACAAGGCCCCCAGGGCGCTGCATTACACCCATGCCCACGGCCACCACATGTTCCACGTGATGACACACGAGGGAGACTGGCTACGGACACGCCCGGAGTGTGAGCAT